TAGGAAGAAATTAGAATTACGCAGCAAAAGGACGATCATTTGAATAAGATTAGGGTAGAGATTGGGGCTGGAAAGGCTGAACATTTTGATGTGACCGATGATGATGTCGTAAGATATAAAGGTAAAGTGTATATGCCTAATGATGCTCGATTGAAAATTATCCTACTTGAGGAGGTTCATCAGAGTAGATATACCATTCACCCAAGAGCAACTAAGATGTATCATGACTTGAGACGTGGTTGGTGGTGGCCAAGGATGAAGAGAGATGTAACTAAACATGTAACTCGTTGTTTAACTTACTAGAAAGTCAAAATTGAGCATCAGAAACCAGCCGGAATGCTACAGTCTCTTGATATTCCAGAGTGGAAATGGGACAGCATTTTTATAGACTTCATTATAGGATTGCCTAGAACATCTTCTGGTCATGATACTATATGGTTAATCGTAGATCGACTCACCAAATCAGCTCATTTTCTTACTACCAATATCACGTATTCTCTTGAAAAATTAACTAAAATTTACATAAGAGAAGTGGTGAGGTTGCATGGAGTGCCGACAAATATTGTATCTGATCGTGATCCGAGGTTCACATCAAACTTTTGGAAGTTATTACAGGAAGCCATGGGTACTAGTCTGAGTTTTAGCACCGCTTACCACCCCCAGACCGATGGGCAAACAGAACGAACCATACAGACTCTTGAAGATATGTTGAGGGCTTATGCCATTGAGCTTAGAGGTAATTGGGATAGTCACTTGCTATTAGCTGAATTTGCCTACAATAATAGTTTTCATTCTAGCATTCAGATGGCACCTTATGAGGCATTGTATGGAAGAAAATGTAGATCGCCACAATGTTGGGCAGAATTAAGTGAGAAAACTATTTTGGGGCCGGACATTATTGATGAGACTACCCAAAAGATTGCTTTAATCAAGTAAAAATTACTCACAGCTCAAAGTAGACAAAAGAGTTATGCAGATAAGAGGAGAAGACCGCTTGAGTTTGAAGTAGGTGACCATGTATTTTTGAAAATCTCTTCGGTAACTGGTGTTGGAAGAGCTATTAAGGCTAAGAAGTTGACACCAAGGTTTGTGGGGCCTTTTGAGATCTTAAAATGAGTTGGACCAGTAGCGTATCAAGTAGCATTACCACCCCAAATTGCTGGAATACACAACATATTCCATGTGTCACAACTGAAAAAGTAGCAACCAGATCCTTTTTATATAATTGAACCTGAGGAAATTGAACTCAGGGAGAATTTGACATTCAGAGCTGAACCAGAAAGGATTATGGATTACAAGGACAAGCAATTAAGAAACAAGACCATTAGATTGGTTAAAGTAATCTGGAAAGGTATAACTCCAGGTAATGCTACCTGAGAGACTGAAGACAGTATGCGACGTGATTATCCTCGTCTTTTTGATTAAGTAAGTAGTTAATAGTTACTAACTTCAAATTTTAAGGATAAAATTTTTAAAAGGAGGGGAGAATTGTAATATCTCAATTTAAATTTTAATAGTTAATTTGGGTTAATAGAAATTTTGAAAAAAAATATTTAGAGGTAAGCAAATTAGTAAGAGATGATTATTAAATCTAACTTAGGATATAATTCTAAATTAAAATTAAAAAAATAATAAAAAATAATAAAAAAATATTATTAAATTATTATTATTATAATAAAGAAAAGAAAAGGTATTAAAAAAAGAAAAGGAAGAAGAAGAAGAAGAACGAGATTGCTTTCGGCGGTCGCGTAATGATTACATATCAAATAATAAAAAAAAGAAAGACGAGAGAGGAAAGAAGAAATAATAAAAAAAATATGGGACCCACTGAATTTTTATAAAAACTCACCTGTTTCCTTCATTTCTTCATTCTTCCCTGTGCGCAAGCTGAGGCAGAGAGAGAGCGTCTGTGAGCGTGAGTTGCCAGTGCGAAAGATCTAAATTTTTAAGGTAAGAGTTTTTAATAGGATATTTAGGGTGTGATTTTAAGTTTTTCAAGACTAAGTAAGTGTTCTAAAATTTTTCTTAGTCATCCTTCTTCTTTGGTTTCTGATTTTGTGGTGGTAGAAAATTTAGGATCTGGAAGAGGGATGAATTTATGTTAAATAAATATGGTTTATGAGGTTGTTAGTAGTATAATAAATGTTCTAGAGTATAAATTTGTCGATGATCTTTGAATTTGTGGCTTATGGATCAAATTCTAAACTAGATCTGAAAATATATGTTGATTTATTGAGGTTTAGATGATTATTTGGGATGAGAAATGAATTATTATGCTTATAGGATTATGATTCTAAGCTAGAGACTCAATTTTTAATTTTTGAGTATTTTAGGTGCGAATTTATAAAATAAAAAGAAAAATTTGATAATAGAAATTAGTTTAGAAGTTGATTTTTAGATTATTAATGTTTATTGATAATTAAAAGAGGAGTTAAAAATTTTACTTAATAGTATTAACTCTAGATTTGTATTAAGATTGAGATTAAGAATTATGTTACATTTTTAATTCTATTATTAGAATTATTTTATTAGTTTCAAAAATTAAAACTAATATTTATAAATAATATATTATTTGTAAATTGTATTATTGGTGAAGATTGTGGTGGGAGAGAAATTTTAAGGAATAATTTATTGAAAAAGTCACGAGGTAACCATGCTTTTAATTTGTGATTAGTGTTACTTCATATTAATTGGGTGATTATTGAGAAAATTATGAATTTTGTAATATTGTATAATTGTGCAATATTATTATGGATTTTGTTTGATTATTGTGGGAGGTGTTGGGAGATTTGCTATTGTTGTTGTATTTATGTGTCACATGGTACGTCCCTATTAGAGCTCAATAGGTGGCTTGTAAGGGCTCGGGCTAATCTACCTTTGGCCGGGTAATTTAACACCAAGTGAGGGCTACGGCTCGAGGTTAATGAGGGATATAAGGATGGTTATTTGTGTGTATTGTAATATTTTTTATATTTGTTGGAATTATATTATTTTTAATTCTCACTTAATAAGCACATATTTAACTGTTTATATATACTATGATAAATTGGCTTTGGTTACTAGGACTTTTGAGTCTCATTATGTGGTTAACAATTTTCAGGAGAAGAGCCATGAGTGACACGTGGAGGAGTCCCAGAGGCTTAGTGGCATAGATCCACTATCTCTTTTGGGTATTTGATTTATGATTTATAATGTGTTATATTGCCAATATTAGGGTTTTTTGTTTATTGTCAATTCTATGAATATATAAATGTAATCATGTTTTTTAAACTATTTCTATTTTTGGTACACTTTGGATGACTGTAATTTTAATATTTGGTTTACTTTGGATTGGTTAAAATGGTATAATTATGAGACCAAATAACTAGCTTGTTTTGAAAATTAACTAAATTAGTTATTTTACTTGTTGAGAGTAGAAGGATGGACAAATGTGATTTAGCTTAATGGCAGGTGGAAGGTAAAAAGTTAACTGAAATGTTGTATTGTGGGAGTTGAAGCCAATTATAAAATATTTTTATATTAAAATTATTGATATAAAATGTGTTGGGTGGTTGTAACCCAACTATGGTTGAATTAAATTATTTAATAAAAAAAATTTGGTGTGTTACATTTGGTGGTGATCCGATAGGGCTAGTGTAGGTTATTATGAAGTTGATTTTTTAAAAAAAAAGAAAAGCCAAGGTATTTTTATCATTTCATACTCAAAATTATTTATAATTTAGTCCATTGATCCTACAATATAAAATCAAGAGTGTTTTGATCTTTTTTGTGTGAAATGGTTACTCCAAACTCCAAAGATGCTAGATTGTTATTTTCCCTTTAAAATTTAAAGGCAATATTATTTTACTTGATAGTTAGGACATCCAATACTTACAAGTTCAAGGATATAAATATTGTTCAATACTTCAAAATTTGAGGGATAAGGTGAGATGGAGCTACACGCATCACCAATGTATAACCATCACCACTAATAAAAACGATAATGATAATGATGATCACCGCGACCACAGATTTAAAATTGTTAATATTGAAATGTCAAGCCATTTATTAACCATTAACCATTTATTTTCAAAGTCAAGGTGAGACAAAGAGATGAGAGATAAAATAGCCACATAGGTTAGATCGATCGGCTATGTATTGGCAGATGGAAGGCTCTTGGTCTAACCATGCACCACACTACACTTAAGAAGGGCACTAAATTATGATATTATTAATAAAAAAAATAAGTAAACAGAATTTAAAAAAATGAGTGAATTTATCAAAAAAATTTATTATAGTTCTTAAATTTGTTCGTCTTTCTTTAATTTTTTTTCTTTTAAATGTTTACCCTCTTCGGTATAAGGATACCTTTATAAGAAAATAAAAAATCTTATAAAATATTAAAAATGCCCCATATACACTTAAATATTATACTATAATATTATGTAAATTCTTTCTCTATTTAAAAAGTAAATATTAATAAATTTTTAATTATTTATATTTTAAAATAATAAAATACTTTTAAAATTGCTTTATCGTTATCACGGAGTGAGCACATTCTCAACCCAAAAGAAAAAAACAAACAAACAACGAAACAAGCCGCATGTTAGTCGGTCTTATCGGTCATTTCGCCATCAAATGTGATGTGACAACCTATACATGTGTCACGTGAGATTGCGCGGCTCACTTGATCAGAATCTGGTTTTCTTCTCAAAGGTATGTTTGGTTTATTTTTTTAAGATTGGGGAGTCCAAACCTTAGGTTAAAAAGTAAAAAGTTCATTATAAAATATAAAATCCTGTTCGGATAAAATGGTCAAAAAAGGTTTTGGAATCATATGAGTATTTTCAAAGAAACGCCTAAAAGAGCTTATTCATTGACGCAGCACGGGAGGACTTTAAAATAATTAAAATAATTATTAATTTTTCTTTTTCTATTCTCTCACTTTATTCTATGACCTTTTCTTTACTATGCCTTCTCCACATTTATTCAGATTTCATGTTTGTCTGTTAACACACTCTTATTCTTAATATACTTTTTTGACGTCACAAATCATCCATGGAGATAGAGGCCTTCCGAGTGATCTCCACGACTACGATCCAAGCACGAAACTACCCTAATAATGGTGACTCACATCAACAAATCGACCTGAATCCATGGGATCTTCAATATTTAGTACTTGGCTACGCTCAAAAGGGACTTCTCTTTCACAAACCCTCATCATCATCTTCCTTAAAACACACAGAGACAGTGATCCAGCACTTGAAGGACTCGCTTTCTCGCACACTCGACTTCTTCCAGCCGCTTGCCGGCCGTCTTGTTATTGTCCCGCACGGCGGCGATGACACGTCTTCCTCTGTCTTCATCAGTTGTAACAACGCCGGAGTAAGCTTTGTTCATGCCATAGTTGACAACACTACAATTGCCGACATCCTCGAACCCACTTATGTTCCTCCAGTTGTGAAATTGTTCTTCCCACTCATCACATCGAAGAATTTCGAAGCAACTCGGATTCCATTAATGGCGGTTCAAGTCACAGAGCTGGTTGATGGCATCTTCATTTCTTGCTCTGTGAACCATTGTGTTGCTGAGGCGAAGCCGTTCTGGAATTTATTGAATACATGGGCTCAGATCTCTCGAAACGGTTTAAACCAAATAGCTTCAGACTCGAAGCTAGCTTCATTTGAGCGATGGTTTCCTCATGATAATATTGAACGACCCATACGAATCCCATTCAAACAAATAATGGAGGATTATCACAAGGAGTCAACTAATTCGCTTCAGTCACCTCAATTTTCAAGGAGGATATTTCACTTCAAAAAGGAAAAACTTGCAGAACTCAAAGCAAAAGTTAATTCAGAGGTGGAAGATGGTGTCATCAGAAATAAAATCTCCTCTTATCAAGCTATTGTAGCCCATGTTTGGAGATCTGTGACCAGAAACCAGAATCTTGATCCAGAAGAAGAAGTCACTTTCAGATTTAATGTATCTGCTAGATCTAGAATTTCTCACCCACCAATAGAAGACAATTATTTTGGAATCACATTACTTTTATTTTCCACTGTGACAATGAAAGTAAGGGATTTGGTGGGAGATGGAGGACGTGGGAGGTTTGCTTTGGAGATGAACAAGATGTTATCTTCATACACAGAAGAAAGGATTAAGAGAGACTTTGAAGCTTGGGTACAAAAGCCAACGATGCGTAAACAAAGTGCCATATTAATTGGGAAGCTTATGACATCAAGTAGCTCCCCGAGAACCAACTTTTATGCCATTGACTTCGGCTGGGGACGGCCGAAGGCGGTTCGCGGCGGTCCGGCCAATGCAATGGTGTGGAAGCTGGCGGTTGATGCCGGAGCAGAAGAAGGTAGCTTCGACATCGAGATTTGTGCTTCCTGTGAAATACTGGAAGCTCTGGGAAGAGACCCTGAGTTGATGCATGTGGTAGCGCCGCCTTCACCCTCACCGCGGCCACCAACAGAGTTATCAAGTAAAGTAGCTCGGACTCGGCTCTAAACATTGAGCATCTCTATCTTTGTCGTAATAATTAGGCTAAAAATATAACGAATATATTTTCATTTTCCAATAGAGAGATTGTGCGTTTCATATATTCCTATCCCATGTGGTGGAGGGATAAGTGTGTGAGTATGCTTGTTTGTACGTATTTGATCTCTTAAAAATAAAATAAAATTATGGCGAATATTTTTTATTTAAAGACATTTTTTAATATATTTTTTCGTCATTTCTCTACCTCTAGAGCTATCAACAACAATAGCCGGTTAGACTTTATTGAGCAGGCTGTCTAGTCCAAGCTTATTCTTATCCTAAAATTAATATTTTTCTCAAGTCCAGCGCTCAGACCCAAAAGCTTGCATAATTGTTTTTTTTTTAAGTTAGTTAAAACTTTAATTTTTAAAAAAAATTTATAATTTTATAATTTTATTATTATTAAATATTTTATATAAATATTTTGATAACGAGTATTAAAATTGTAGTTCATCATTTTTTTAAAAGAAGTGATAAATAAAGTAGAATATAATTGAATAATTATAAAAGTTACACAATACATTATATTTTGGATCACATAAGACTTTTAAAAAATACCGTATATTATAATTTAAAAGAAGTATATATAAATTTTAAAGTACCTTAATTAAATGTATAAGATGTAAACATTCTTTAATCCTCATTATTATCAATCTTCATTCAAAAATAAAGTATTAGACCTTTGAGAGGGAGGTCTTTACTTGGAGGTGGTGGTGATACTTCAACAACATCAAATAACTTTATCTTCAACACATAGAATAAACATTTAACAAGCTGTGTTATATATATATATATTTAAAAAATTATATAAATTATATAAATAAAGTTACAAAAAAAATTATAAGGGCTCAAGCGCTATCCCAAGCTCAAGTATGTTTTTGCAAGATTTATAAGAATAGAGTCTAAAAACTTTTTTATATCAAAATGTCTTAAAATTTTTTAAGAAAAATTATATTAAAATTTCTTTGAACTAGATACATGACATGTCTTTTAAAATATTATAATTTTACTAAAATTTTTAAAATTTTTTTTATTATTAATGAATTAATATACATGATTAAATTGCCTTATTGAAAATAAAAATCCTGATATCATTGCAAGTATTGAAAATAACAAGTAATGATCACAAATTTTATTTAAATAATCATAATTTTTTTCTTATATTCTTAACAATACACCAACAAATCACAAATTCGCATGTTAAATTCTTAATATTCCTACAAGTGTTGAAAATAGTAAGTAATAATCACAAGTTTTGTTTAAATAATAATAACTTTACTTTTTATATTCGCAATAATATAACAATAAATGTTAAGTTTGCATGTCAAATTCTTGATATTACTATAAGTGTTAGAAATAATAAGTAATAATCACAAATTTTATTTAAATAATCATAAATTTACTTGTTATATTTGTAACAATGCAATAACAAATCATTAGTTTACATGTCAAATTCCTAATATTGTTATAAGGGTAATTTGGTCATTTCAATAAATTTATTAATGTCAAAAAAGTCACTATAAATTTCAATGGAATTATGGTATTTTTAGTGACTGAAGTGTCATTTATATAATTTAAAATTTTTTTATTATTATTATTTATTTTTTCCTTTCAAACCTGGATCCTCAAAACGTACCCGGCCTAAAAGAGCAGTATACCAGTCTCGGTTCTCATCAGTTCTTATTGATCATGACACAACAAAGCGCAAGAAAATGTTTTCCCCCCCTATTTGCATTACTTGGCAACTATTTCCCCGATCTTATATATTAATCATTTTTTAAAAATATAATTTAATTTAATTTATAAATTATTAGTTGATGAAATTATTTTATTTTAAATTAAAATCTTTAAGTTATTTTTAAAAAAATAAGAGAGAGAAAGATAGAAAAAATAATATTATATTATTTTTTTATTTTTTGTTTTTTATTTGAGAGTTATATTTAAAATTTCACTTACTTTTATTTCTTATACTTTTATTATATTGGTATTGATAAAGTTGATAAAAATAATTTATAAATAAGATCGAATAGAGTATAATAATTGTTTTAGGAGACACCTAATTAGAGATACTTTTTCTGTTTAAAAATATAAAAATTTTTTAACAAAACTTCCACTTTAATAAAATAGTTATCAAGTAATAATAATAACATTGCTTGAGATTAAAAAAAGCGGCTGTAACATAGTACAATGGCTCGGTGCAAAATATTATAACAAAAAATATATATTTTTTATGATATTAAAAAAATTAATTTTTTGTAATATGTTTGAAATGATTAAAAATATTTTATTATTACACAGCACTCTAAACAAGTTGTCTAGCGAGAGGCATACGTTAATTTGACATCAGAGGGTGGCGTCTTTCCCAGTGGAGCATCCACACACCCTGGCCTTAATTTTTCAGCCGCCTTCGCCCCTGCAAACTAATCCTCCCATCTCCACCGTCTTGTCTTCATCTGTGGTCCCACCACCAACGCATTCTACAGATTCCAATTCCATTATCGCTACTCCTTTGTCGTCTCCGTCTTCTTCTCCACGTGTTCCTTAGGCCCAGAGCCTCTCCTTATCCCTTCTCTCCTCTTCTTCTTCTCATTCTCATCTCTACCCTTAAATAACAAAATAAATGGTTCAGATTTATTTATTTTATAAAATAATTATCATATAAAAATAAAAATAAGTTTAAATATTAAAATTTGATCCGCTTTACAGCTGTATACTGTTATTATTTTTTTTTATAAATTAAATTTTTTATTTATTTTATTGCAGTTATAAACTATGCAGATTAAATTATAACAGTTTAAAATTATTTATTTATTTTTTAGTATAATATTATGATAATTGTTTTATAAAATAATTGAATCTAAATCCTTTATTTTTTTTAACTAAAGGTGGAGATATGGATGAGGAAAGAATCTCCTTCCCTCAACTAAAAATTCCAAACAACACGTGATTTTGGAGTGTTCTAACTTAAAATATATAACCCGCCCAACCCACCTAACTCGTGAGTTGGGCGGATTGATCTCAGGTCTCCTTGGTTGATTGAGGTCAACTATGGCCAAATAAAATAACAAAACCAAATTAAACACATGGTTAGTTTACCAATTCATCGGCCGATTTAATTTTACAAAAAATGATATGAGAGTTATTATTATTATTTTTTTAATTTTAGTTATATTGTAAATTTAATTTTATGTCCTATCATATCTTGTATATTTCTCTCTCCCTATTTTTAATAGAAGTAAACTTGAAATTTTTTTTTATTTTAAAACATGTTTAACAGGTTAATTATTATTTTTTTAATTCGGGTGAAGTATATAGCTGAAAGCACTCATTAACATGAATTAGAACCTCAGATAAAGAAGTTGTGGTCACGTACAGCCACGCATCGGCTATTAACTTCTTAGCATCCACAAAGCATAGTTGCTAAATGATCAACAACACTATTCCCTACTCACCAGTCGTGAAACCATTAGCAAGACATGCTTCATTTGAATGTCATATATACTTTCACCAATTTTAGTTATAAGACAAATTTTAAAATTCTATTTATTTTAAATATAAATAAAGATGTAGTAACTACTATTTTTTTGTTAATATTGTCCTCTTTAATGGCGTTAAGATGTTACAAAATTTTTAATCACTAGTCACATTTTATTGTCATCATTAATTTTTTATTTTTTTTTCATAGCATAAGGAGTAGCTTAGAGTTAGTAATATGAGTCAACTCATAATTTGCTGGTATTGTAGTGTGGGCTGGCATAACTCGTATTCTTGTTGATTATATTTCTACCAACCTATCAATAAAACATTTTTTTTTACAATTTTTTCATTTTTAAAAATTATAAATTTACTTCTTTTCATTATTTTTTATGGTAAAAAAAATCATATTAAACTGTCCTACAAAATACTACAGTAAGGTATCTAATTGTTTTTTTTTTTTCATTGTTTGTAGGAAATGAATTAAACACCTAAGGTACCTAGGTTTTCGTTATTTTTTTTGGGCAGCTCGATGCAAAAAAGTTTGGTCAAATTGAAATATTAATTTTGCAGATTTTGGAAGGTGCTCATTAACCCACATACATAAATTTTATTTATTTATTTTTAGGTTAACAGTAACAACTGGGTTGAGTATTTTTTTTAATGGATTGCGACATAATTTTTTGGACTAAAAAAAAAGCTATATTAATTGTAAAAACAGTAGTTGTGGAATCTTATTCTTGAGTTTGTAACTTCGAAATAGAAAAATACTCCCTTTGTTAAAAAAATATAAAGCATTTTTAATTAAATTTCACCGCCTAATAAAGTAGCTATTTACTTTCAAACTAACTCTATCTTTTCATAGTTATCCCTATTAAACACCCTACAATAAATATAAATGTAAAGTGATTATCAATAGAAGCACTTTTGAAAAAAGGTAATGATTATACCTCAAAAGATTAAAAATACCTTATATTTTTTAACATCCAACTCCCTAAAAAATGCTTTATATTTTTGAATCAAGGGAGTATGTCATATCCATGGCGTAGTTAAGTTGAAAATAATAAAAAGGATCAATCCAAGAAAACAAACGTATTAACAAAAGAAACCTAAAAAAATTAAAAATGAGTAAGAAAAACACTGCAACAAAAAAACTTTTAGTGACGACCTTTAGGGGTGACTCTAAAAAGTCGCTATTAAAAATTAACAATCTATAGCAACATCAAAAATCACTGATAAAAGTTTGACCTTCTATGATTACATGCAGAGTCACCACTAAAAATGTGACTTTCTACTACTACAATATAAAATCATTGTTGATTGTTAAATTTTCAATGACAACAAGTATATGTTATCGTAAAAACTCACACTTTTTGTAGCAACTTTGAATGTTGTTGCTGAAAGATTGACTTTCATAACACTTAATAATAACTAAGTATTATCATCATAATTTTTTTATTTTTTATTCAACCCAATATTTAACATTTTAAGACATTAATTTTGTTGCATTATTGTAATTTTTATGATGAATATATAAAATAATGTAATGAGTTTTCATTTAATATATTTTATGGTATGAAATTATTTTAAGATAAGGCTAAGATATTAGCTAATGTCAATGAGCCAAACTAAAGTATAAAGCAAAATCATATAATTTTAGGTCAATTTTTATTATCAAGTAATATTTAGTTTTAT